TAAAATGTATAGTTATATATATAATATAATGCTGTTATATATACAATATAATGCTGTTGTTTATAAGCCTAAATTAAAAATCTCAAAAATATATTCTACTAATTTTCTGAAAAATTCGATCGTAAAATGTCACTAGAAATTATGTCAAGACAATCGTATCCTCTCAATCCTACTTTTGCACCAGCAATGCAGCATGCAAATTTAATAGCCTGTTGTAGAACTGTTTCATTAATAAATTTTGCTCGATTGTACTCCGAACTTCTTATATCTAAATTTTCCTTAACATCTCGTTTAATTGCAGTATTATTATCAGAGGCATCCTTCATTTGATTATCATTCGTACAAGCTGCTTCTTCTTTATATTTGTGCATAAATTCAACTTTGCTTTTGTTCAAATAATACAGAGCAGCAGCATTAAATGTATCACCTGCACCTAAAGTATCGATTACCTTTCGAGGTGGGAAAGCTGGCGATTGCACTATTGAGCCGCATGGAGTACGAGCGATTGCACCTTCCTCCGACCAAGCACAAATAATAGCTCCTCTAAAAGGAGATTAATCTCTTATATGTATAATACAATATTATGTGTTGACGCATCTTTTATATTTACAAATATTAAAGTAATTGGTATATTCCCTTACTTAGAATCTTGGCCGATGTTATGTATCACTTCGTTCATATTACTAAAACCCAGATACTCAGCGAATTCTTTTGCTATAAATGCTACGTCAACGTACGACAATAGATTCAATATCCTGGAACCTGATCTGGGACTTTCTAATTCTACACTAATTGTAATTGGCATGCGGTTTTTGACAGCGAGATCACAATTTAATGAATTATTATAATTATCTATACGTTGTATCATAAGTAGCACTACATCTATATGCCTTCCCTAAAAATAGGAAACAATTCAAATGCTTCATATATAATACTTCCTACATTATAAGACAAACCTCAAAATGAATCCAACTATATTCCTCTAAATTAAGTTGCTCGAAATTCTTTAACGTTAATTCGGGTAAACAATTATGATGAATAATTGTGCGAGATCCAGTGTCCAAACTCAATATAATACTTGAGACGGGGCATCCAATGCCATTTATCATAGGACAATGGGAATAGTCAATTTTATACTTGTGCAGATCGTTTTGCAGAAAATTAATATGTTCGTCTGCGCTCAAGCATGCCAGAAGCTCACACGGTTGTCCTATTAATGATAGTACAGTACAAGTATTGGATGCATTGCCCCCTCTTTGCCATCTGTAATCAGTAGATCTGAAAATTATGTTTATAACAAGAAATTAGAAATGTCTAAATTAAAAATTCGCAAAAATTGCATATTATAAGTTATCTTTTAAATAATTTATACTAATTAAAAGAATCGAAAAATTAGAAAACTCTCAAAAAACTTTGATAAATTAGTATGTTATTGATTTATTTAAATTCTCTAAAATAAAACATAACGGTTAAAAATATGTAATATTTCTTGGGCAATGTGTCAATATATACATACATGGTCGAAAGTTTTTGCCAATCACTTTTGTGTAGATAGAGCGAACTAATCTGAGTCAAAAAGTCCTCTACTATTTTGCAATTTTCGCAATAGTTAACAAGATATTAATTACTAAAAATTACCAAGTATTGGTCTTAAATAATTTTTTATTCAAATACTATCAACTTTATAGAAAAGCTGCAAGAGACAAAAATCATTTATTATTTTCTTCTCATAAAGTTCTGAGAATTTTTTCAGAATTTTTTCAGAATTTTTTAATACCATATTTTTTCACGTTGGTAAAAATAAGAAAATGCAATACTAAAAAGTTAATAAAAAATTCTGAAAAAATTCTTAGAGTTCTATGAGAAAAAAATAAATAATTTTTGTCTCTTGCAGTTTTTCTATAAAGTTGATGGTATTAAAAAATTATTCAAGACCAATATTTGGCCAATTTTTAGTAATTAATATTTTGTTAACTATTGCGAAAATTGTAAAATGATAGAGGATTTTTCGACTCAGTTTAATCCGCTCTATCTACATAAAAGCGATTGGCAAAAACTTTCGGGTCACCTTGTATATATAAATCGCACGTGGACTGAGCAGTGGTATTTCATTGGTCAATCTATAATAGATAAATTTAATTGCAATGTCAACAGTTTTGTTATTAAAAAAATATGCTAATCAATCTTGAACTTTGCCAATAAAATATCATGTGCGATCAGAGATTCAATTATTACTATCCAAAATACGTTCCACTTGACGCTCGCAACGCTCATGAAATCATTTCATCTTTATTATTTATTAAATATTATACAAGAACGAATAATATTCACAAGCGTTGTTAACGCCAAATGGAAAATATTTTAATATAATCTTAATTGAAATTATATAAATATTTAAATATTAGGTATCGTATATTAAATCTGCCATTGATTGAAGACCGGATCAATGAATTCGCTGTTTTCTCACGCGGCAAATTTATTTAATTAAGGAAAACATCTCAGTGATCGGACATATACCTATTTACACAAAACTTTATTTCTTTATAGTATTATGGTCAGCATTTACAGCGTGGAATTGTGGAGTTCAAAAAGTTTAATATGGAAATTCGATACTCAAGAAATCCGAGAATTGAATTAAAAAGCAACCGTAATTTTTTTTAAATATTGTACATTGCTGTCGATATTCGTGATAGCAATACAACTTTTAATTCTTTTAAATTGTAAATAATAGAGATTCGAATGAATTTATCAGTAAAAATTGCGGAAAAGCGGCAAATTTCGCAATTATCACCATTTCATTTTCCCGTCCCTCACTCGAAATTTCCATACCCAGGAAAAAAGGAGGCGAGTCAATTCGCCAAGCCTGATTTTTATTATAATAAGCATATTTTTTTAAATATAATATATTATAATAATTTTATTGTAATCTGCAAGAACAATTAAATTATAACATTGTAACGTAAAAAAGCATTGAAAAAAAGCATTTGAGATTAATATTATAATAATAAATTTTATGTATTTGTGCAGACGTATGTGTACGTAAATACATGTTTAGTTATTGAGATATTTATCTTAACTCTAAAAAAAATCAAAATCACTAACCTTTGAGTGGAATCTTCCGAAGGAAATTGCATGCACACATGAATAATGTCAAGGCAAACGCGTCCCACACATAAAATCTTCAACATATGGGCTTCCATTGACGATTCCCCACAGATGATTTCCTCGTGAGTACTTGACGTCATGTCTACAGTCAGAAATGTTTTCCTCCACGCTTTCATCTGCGTAGCTACTACGCACAAAGGCAACTTATCTCGCCTACGGATGTGGAATTTTTTATTAATAAAAGGAGGAGAAAAAGGGGGAAGTAAAAAATGATAACCTTTCTTTATTTTTTATTTATTTTGTGCTATTGGTTAATCGTGCCCTTTTTACAATTGCGAATTACAACGCCCGTTCTGTCTACTAGTCGGTAAGGGATATCATTGATATTAGCCGTAACCGTAATTTGTAAGAATTGATTAATCACATTCGAGTATTCCCCTCTCATTCAATTGTAAGAGAGTAATTTTTCTAACTCTTACAGATAATGGCATACAGCACACATTACGGCACGTTACAGCATGATTACGGTCAGTACAAATGATCACTATAAAAGTTGAATTTTTGCTATGCGCGCAATTGTACTGTCACGAATATCGGTCGACATCTGCACACATTTAAAAAAATTTATATATGATTTTTAATCCAACTCTTGGATTCCTTGAGTGTGGATTTCCACACTACGCTAAATTTTGGGTGTGGATTTTCTAAATTTTGAAAGTGCTCCACGATATAGTTTTTTTCTACTGATATAGATTCCACATTACAGTTGCCGAGCCTGTATAGACTTCTTTATCGTTTTTTATTAAGCAATCATTCTAATGCAAGATACAAGTTTTAAACATGATTAATAAGGTCAATGAATCACGATATTACAACTTCACATACTCCAAGGGCGATCAAAGTCTTATTATGAATGCCTCGAAGCAGCGACCAATCAGAAGAAAAAATTTCACGAATTGACCGCTCAAAGAATTCTTTAAAACATTTGTAGCATAATGTTGTGACTATATATCATAGAATAAATATTATATTTGTGGCGTCCTCTAAAATTAGTCACAGATAATTTTTATTTATTAGGATATAATACTTATCTCCAAACAGATTATATAAAGTTGAATATAATAAATTAAATATGAACTTCTTTATAATGCAGCAAATTAACGCAGCTTTTAAAGAGTTTATATTTAATTTATTATATTCAATTATACATATATTTTCGAAAAGTCAACCAATTGAAAACCTAAAATAAAGAACGCTACCATATTAATCATATAATTTCATCAATTTAATAATGGAACTATGGAACAGGGTGTTTCAAAATTCGTGCCCGCCAAGTACAAGACGTGATACTTTATGCTAAAACAAACAACTTTTTCCTTTAACAAAATTGTGCATTCGATAAATAATTTTTGCGCTTATATGTTGACTTTTCAATCAGCTCTCCTGCAAAAATTACTTATCGGACGCAATTTTGCTAAAGAAAAAAGTCGTTTTTTGTACTAAAATGGACAACTTTTTTCTGCAGTAACATTCGATAAATAATTTTTGTGTTTACTCGTACAATTTCAACCTGCTTTCCTGCAAAAACTACTTGTCAGACGCATTTTTTACAAAAGAAATAAGTTGTTTCTTTTAGCATAAAATATCACATCTTATATTTCGCGAACGTGAATTTTGAAACACCTTATATATATATATATATATGTTCTATATGTATATAGAATGCTATGTATAAATGTGCTATGTTTAAAGGTACCTTTTCATGCACACTCGACGGTCATTATAATGAGCAGCAAAACGGGTCACGTAATCAAAATTGACGCTTACTATTCATTAATTTTGATTACGTAACCTATTTATCGTTAAAAATAAGCTTTAACGTCACCATGAAACTACGCCTTAAATGTTTGAACATCATGACTCTGTTGGTTGTTTATGAAATATCATATATCATTATTGCTGTTATACTATAAATTACGATATACTTTTACGAATTTTATTTTATTATTATGTTATTCGTCAAATATCGATATGTCAAACTACGAAACATCACTTCCAGCTGCTTCAAAGAGAAAAACGTCATTTCTCAAATAGGCTCCTTTCAAAAGAGACACACTCGACACAAACGTTTTATTATATTTTCCTTGACATTCAATAAATAATAAACAAAAGTAGAACAACCACATATGTGTCTCCTAAAAGGAAACATTCAACAATCATGATGCGTGAATAAGTAGATAGGAAGAACGCGCTCTGAATGTGCCTACATACTAATATGCGGGCAACTTCATGCATTAAACAATTATAATTCCTTAATAATCCATGTGCATACACCTGTATATTGCAAATACAAACTTATAAAATATATACGAATATATAATCATAAAATCGAGTAAAATCGTAAATAACATTGAAAATCTTGGGCTTCTGCTAAATAGCAGGAGAATCATATCATTATCATTGTGACAGTTAAAATGCCAAGATGGCGACAAGATCGAATTCGTAACGCATCGCGGAACACTTGCTGTTAATATCTCCAAATCACGTTATCACGATACATATTTGTACTGGATTGTTGAGGATATTACACGGTCAAACGAGACTTGAGTTCGACTCGTTTGTCGTAGCTAATATCGCGTTGTCGTAAAGCCAGGGGAGAAAAATCTCTGAGACATATGTGGCTCGAGAAACATTCACGCTTGGGCGTATAAATTCTGCGTTAGATTCTGCACGCGCGCGGCGCGTTTCCTCGTACGATTACCGCTTTAACATAAATACGATGGATCCACGTTTGCATAGAAGATCCGAGGCTGAAAAGGGACCGAGCGATTTGGTCAGTGGACAGTTAACCTCAAAATTCCATTTGCCTCGTTCGCTCGTCGACAACGACGCGCCCATTAATGGCGATACAACGATTTTGCCGTGTAGACACTTTTATGTTAAAAGAAAAAAAATG